TTATTATTATTATTATTATTATTATTATTATTATTATTATTATTAAGAATGAGTGGATGATGGTACCAAACGTTAAAAGTGTTTATTTCTGTGCCCACATTGCTCCTGCGCGTTTGAACAGTGAGGACATAAATGTCAAAAGAAGCAGCATTCAGATCGACCCAGAAACTGGTGATGTAGTTTTGCGCGACGACATTGCGGGTACCTCGCGGTTTCGTTTTGACAGTGTGACGTACTACCCGTTTCACACCACGCTGTACGAGGCCGTGCTGGGGCACCGTGTGGCGGAGAGCTTTGGAAGCGACCGCGCGTACTTGTGTGACTCACCGCCGGTATCTATGCACAGTGCCATCATTCACGGCTCCTCTACTGCACACACCATGGAGCTCTTTCACACGTTGGTGCTCACGGCCGTCAGTCACGCTTTTGAGGTGATCAACGCTACAAACGACGCTTTACCTGTACAGCTACAGTACAGTATAGTACGTGTTTATTCGTGGGGTTTGACAGACGTTTTAAGTCAGCGGGTTGTGTCAAACAGTTCGACAGGAGTAATCGCAGAGGACTCCAGTATTTCGTACCAACACAACATCAAACGCAACGTAATTGGTTCTCGTGAAGATGTTCACCTTGTTGAGAACATTCTTTGTTCTGCTTGTGCGGTTCCTGAGGGACATGCAGCTATTGTTTTTAGTCTTTTTTCACGCCCACGTAACAGTCCAATGAAAACAAAGAAGATTTCTTCCGGTATCTTCTCGATGACTCTTCTGCCTCAATTATGGCAAGGCAACAGACAATTTCAAGGAGATATGCACACGCTGCGAGACCTCCTTGCCGGACACCCTTTGTCATGTGAGAGTTCTTGCTGGTTGATAAGTCAACTTCTCCCGACAGACGTAGTAAATAGCGTAACCCTTATTACATGTATTTGCGACGAACCGGAACAACATCAGCAGACAAATCATAGTTGCGTCTACGGATGCAGTCCTACTACTAGTGAAAGAGAATCATTTCGTCTATCATTTACTCCAGTTACTACACCTCAACGACCAAAAATAAGACATAATATTTTTTCGTCCCTTTCTCCCGAAAGAACTCATCGACGTGTCATCTCACCATATGCGCTGACAACACCTTCCTTTCCTAATACGACAGAGCATATTACCAACACAACTGACACTATGGCATTACACCAATTGCATACAAGGAAAGACAACACCTTCACCAGACACTTTTCACCAACTACAAGAAATAAAGCACAAATTGAACTCCTGACAGCACGTTCTCTGGCAACTGAGCTAGAAGGACATCGCAGCGAGAAAAATAATTATACCACGGCATGCAACAAAGAAATTGAACGAGTTATTACCACTGCGGCCAAAGTCAAGGAGGAGGCTGCATGCTCTCAGGAGACTGAACTGGAGGAACGTGTTCGTGAGGCTGAGGAGCAGGCAAAGGTAGCTGAAGAAGCTGCCCGTCGCCGTATTGCTGCGGCCAAGAGCAAGG